AGTGCTTATGGAGCACCTCATAATTTCCCCATCCAGGAAAGGTGGGAGGCAGGAGAGGCTTGTGAAGAGGCAAAAGACCCTAGCCTAGAAAACAAGATGGTTCCCAAGGGTGACAGTAAATCCCACTGGCCTATCATTGAAAGCTGCAGATTTGGATTTGTCAGCTTAGGTAACAGGCCCTGGCGCTGACTGCTGCTTAATATCACATCAACCACTGAAAAGGCTGGATGGAGGGACAAAGCAAAATCCTTACGCAAGACAAAAAAGTGCCCCAAGAGGGATGGGAAACAAGTTCTAAGACACAAGAAGAAACAACTGGACAAACCCAGAATGTGGAATTCTATAGGATTGCTAGTGCCTGGTCTCCTGAAAAACTCAATGTTATAGAAGAGGTGGGAGGAATATTCTAGAGAGAGACTAAACCCACTGCTGTTAGGTCAATTCCAAGTCATAGCAACCCTATAGGACAGAATATAACTGCCCCCATAGGGTCTCCAAGGCTGTAAGCTTTATGGAAGCAGACTGCCACATCTTTGTCCCGCAGAGTGGCTGATGGGTTTGAACAGCATACCTTTCCATTAGTAGCCAAGTGCTTTAACCACTGCACCACAGGGGCTCCTAGATAGAGACTAAGGAAGCCTAATAAAATGCATTTAATTAATTTTAATTAGATACTAGTTGGGGAGGGGGGAAGCAAGGGCTATCAAAGGCATTGTGGGGACAATTTAGGGAAATTTAAATATGGGTTGGTGTCATGGATTGAATTATGTCCCCCCAAAACATCTGTCAAATTGGCTAGGTCATGGTTCCCAGTACTGTATGATTGCCTATCATTTTGTAATCTGATGTGATTTCCCTATGTGTTGTAAATCCTACCACTACGATGTAATAAAATGGATTAGCAGCAGTTATACTGATGAAATCTATTAGATAGTGTCTTAAGCCAATCTCTTTTGACATATAAAAGAGAGAAGCAAGCAGACAGACATGGGGACCTCATACCACCAAGCAAGCAGTGCCAGAAGCAGAGCGCGTCCCTTTGGACCTGAGGTTCCTTGCGCTGACGATGCTCTCAGAATGCGGGAATACTGATGACAAGACCTTCCTCCAGAGCTGACAGAGAAAGCTTTTCCCTGGAGCTGATGCCCTGAATTTGGACTTGTGAGCTACTAGACTGTGAGGGAATAAATTTCTCTTTGTTGAAGCTATCCACTTGTGATATTTCTGTTATAGCAGCACTAAATGACTAGGACAGTTGCGTATTAGGGGATTACTGTTGTATCTCCTTAGGTGTGATAGTAATACTGTTGGGTTATGCAAGAGAATGTCCTTAGTTTTAGAAATATGACAAACACTGGAGTGAAATGTCATACTGCAATTTGAAGATCCCACAACATACTGAAATATAAATCAAATATGAGAAACTTAAGTGCTGTGTCAAGGTGGTGGGCATAGGTTATCACTGTTATCACCAGGGCCTGTTACCTAAGCTGGCAAGTCCAAATTTGCAGATCTCAAATTTGTATTTTAACTTCCATACATTTTTCTAAGAAGTTTGGGGATGAAGTGCCCCCAAAACACGTAGCTACCCTTAAATTTAATTCGAGAGGTACTTATTGGGACCACCAAATGTCAACGATCCATATTTAAAATCGTAAGGCAAAACCTCTTATGATCCAAGAGTCACTGAATGCTCAAAAAAGCAGCAAAAACCCTTCTGTCTCAAAGCTAGAAATGAAAAGCCTTCTCTCAGGCTGAGTCAGATTAGGAAGAACAAATGTTAACAGTGATGAGTTACCTCTAGGTCAGGTAACAGGTGTGGGAGGGAACGTTACTGATAAACCAGAGAGGTTGGCAAGCTATTTGCCAGAAAGTGAGTATTTTAGGTTTTGTGGGCCACATACTGTCTCTTTTGAGTATTTTTTTCTTTACAATCCTTTAACAAGGTAAAAACCATTCTTAGTTCAAAAGCAATGCAGAAATGTTTTAGATTATACCCTTTTGTATTTTGACTTTTAAACCATCTGCATGCACCATCTATTCAAAAACTAAAACTCAAAAAGCCATGTTCCCCAAAGTAATTTCTATTTACTCTTCTCGCCAATACTGGGGATACTGAGTGCCATACAGGTACACTACTGAAACTGGGAAATCTTGATTATTTGTGTTGCCAGGTGTGGATTTTTTAAGCATGAAGACAAGACACCAACAAACCTATTACCTGGTGTGATCCGGCCACCTTGCCCTAATTCCTCACTGACCACAGGTATCTGCAGTTAATTAGAGGTAGGGTTTCTGGCCATTCAGATTTAACGACTTTCATCCATAACAAAATTGGAAAATTCAAACCAATCAGCAAGCTGGTATGCCATTTTAATGTTCTGAACCGGCTGGTGATCACCTAATGCCAACTCCTAGAAATAAAGAACACGGTTACCTAGCAAGTTTTCAGAACATGGTTTCTCCAATTTGCTTTGAGAACTGTGCACCCAGGAGGTGGCAGCTACCATTCTTAGCCACTCTGCTCACCCAGTGAATCACCATGCAGTTTCAGCTGACCAGTGCAGGGGCCAGTGCATGAGGTAATTACATATAAATAGAGTGGAGGGAATCTGCACTTGCACCAAACAGCAAACTCTGCTACACTGAAAGGTCCCTTGCACTAACTCACCTTGCGTGGTGATTCCTCCAATCCACACCCAAAGTACTTAGAATGAAGAACTCTGCTCTGTCCCGAGCAGAAGGGATTACTCAGTCCCTTGTAATCACTCCCATAACCTTTATTTAACTGCTTCACATGATCACATTATTTTTAAAATTCTAGAGTACACTGAAGGAGCTCTGATGGTGCAATGGTTAAGTGCTCGGCTGCTAACCAAAAGGTCGGTGGTTTGAACCCACCCAAAAGTTCCACAGAAGACCTGGCAATCTGCTCCCATTGAGATTACAGCCTATGAAACCCTATGGGGCAGTTCTACCCTGTCATATAGGGACGCTGAGTCAGAACACCATGACAAGAGTATATTGAGAAAAGGACCTCTGTCTTTGGTGCCTAACCTGTAGCACTCACTCAATTCTTGAATTGTGATAACTATCTTAAACTTTATTCTACTCCTGCCACCCAACCCCTAATCTTTTGGGCTATTCTTTACCAACTACTTATCTGCGTGATGCCACATTTCCTTCAAATACGTCAACCCAAATAACATCTCAACACGTCGACTGCAGAAGCAGCTATGGGGATCCAGATGACTTTTACTAAGTCAGACATTAAAAGAGAGCTGGCAAAACTGTAAAACAATGACACTCTTCTCTTTTGGAAAAGTTACTTTTCTTTAAAAAAAAAAAAATATATATATATATATAATGGGTTTTTCACTGTTATTTCACATAAATGAGATCTTCCTAATTTTTGGCAGATAAACCCCACATAAGTAAAAGCTCTTAAGAAAGAGGCTTTGAGATGAAAAAGCTTACATTAAGGAAATCTTAACTGAATAGACTTCGTTTTATCTCAAGAGAAATTAAAGTGTCTGTGGAACTCCCTTGGGCAAGTCTTATAATCAAATTCCAGGCACTCATAATGGGAAGCTACACCCAGGGAACAAGGGTGTTAAGAGTCGCAACTTTCAGGAGCTCTCTCTTCTTTCTGAAGAGCCTTGGTGAGCCTGTGTGAATGCTTGACTGTTCTGACCTTGCTTGTATCTCCTTATTGGCAAGGCAATGTCTAATTCATCTCTCTACCCTGAGTAACTAGCGCACTAAAAGGGCTCAAGTCAATGTAAGCTGGTTAGTCTCCTAGCTGCACAGAAGCAGCCTGGTGTTAAGCAGACAAAGCTCAGAAGGCCAGAAGACTGTGGTTCCACTTGAGTTATCAGTGAGTGGCGTGACCTCAGCCACATCAGTCACTTCTATTTCCACATGTGTACTTGCAGTGCCAGTGGCACTCCCAGAGTGGCTGAGTGGTAATGAGCTAACTTAGGGGAATTCATTCAGTAGAAGGCAAAAAAACTACTCACACAAGGGTTTTTTATTCCTGAAATGTGAAATTAGAATTTCTCAAAAAAAAAAAAAAAAAAAACCTCCCAAAAGCTGTCTTCTTCCACTTGGTGAACCAAGGCTCCCTCCCGTTTTCCAGAAGCATGCACAAGTGGATGGAGTAAAACCTTACCCTCCCTCACCTCTCCTTAGACAAATCCCTCTTTACAGTTAGGGCAGAACACCCCCCACACCCAGGGATGTGAGTCACTTTGTGGTTCACATTCTGGAAACTGCCTTCACCAAGAGCAGGCCTTCTGAAGGCCATGAGACCACTTCAGAAGGACTAAACACCCAAGACAATTTTTAAGAGTGTTTTTAAGCACAAAGAACCACCTCATCCAAGACTTAAAGGGATCACCAACAATACTGGGCACCTAATAAACGTATGGAGCCCTGGTGGCACAGTGGTTAAGAGCTTGGCTGCTAACCAAAATGTCAGCAGTTCAAATCCACCAGGCGCTCCTTGGAAACTCTATGGGGGCAGTTCTACTGTCCTATAGGGTCCCTATGAGTTGGAATTGACTCAATGGCAACAGGTTTGGTTTTTTTGGTTAATAAACATATACTGAACCAGGGACATGACCCAGTTCTCATTTAAACCTATACCTCCAAAGCTCAGAAGAGTCCAGTAATTTGTCAGAGGGTCAAAAGGAGTCGTGATTCAAACTCAGGTCTGTGCTTTTGATAAGTTGTACCCTTAGAAAGGGTCTCAGGGATCTAGCTGAATATGCTCACTTTATAAGAGAAAAACGAAGGCCTAAAAGGTGCAATGATTTTTTAAGATCAGTAAACCCAGGTCTAATTTCCATATACAGGTGCTTTTCAATATATACCGTCTTGCCCCTTTTTCCTCAATTCAACCTCAGTCCTTGGGTGGGGGAGGAGGATAGAACGCCCATGTCTAATCACACCTTCAAAAGCAAAGAAAAAAATTAAACTCATTGAATAAAACTAAGTAGCACTGACATCAGATCTGTAAGTTTATTTGCTCAATGTATGACAGCTACATAATGACTCACATTCATGATATTCCATCACTGAGGAAAACTGCTAAGAATGGTCCGTGTGTGAAATAATTCCTTAGAGAAACACGGAGTTGGAAAAATAATCACTGATTAGACCTTAAAAATAGTTCACTGCATAACATGACAAAAAGCACAAAGGCTCATTCAGAGAACATATTCGTTGTTCTCCTACACTGTAATAGTTATAATTTCACCATGACAAACACCAGACATTAAGATTAAGCTAACACTGGTGTTTCTTTTGCTTCTTCCCCCCTTTTTAAAAAACAAAATATATAACTGCATGTCACTATAGCAACATCCAAAACAGATCAATTTGTTACGATCACTATTTGGTAGAGCAAACTTTACCCCCAAAAAGAAAAATTAAATTAAAAAAAAAAAAAAAAAAAAAACTTTAAAAAATTTGAAGACTTAATTTTTTGTCATAGGAATACATAACACCTACAGTATAAGTTAATAAATTTCAAGCTACTGTATAGAAATACAACACTAGCATGCACAATATTGTATCAATAGAGTAATGGAGGAGTAATCATTTCACTGGAGAGACAGTATCATAGGCAAGTGCATTTCTTTAAGACTAAAGAAAAGAAACCATTCAAGCTGCTTAAATATCAAGTCACCCATCCCCTCTTCTTTTTTAGCCCTCAGGTATGATTTTATCTTGCATAATTCTAAAAAGCAGCCAGAGCCAAAGCTTAAATTTAAGGAAAAAAAAAAAAATAGGTTTTGTAATTCCAGTAAATCATTTCCAAATGCTACGAGGAAGGACACAACACTGCTCACTGGGCATGGAGATAAATCAGAGAAAGCCCCACCCGCCCCCCACACCCCATCTTTTCTCATCCATAGCATGTACTTCAGGCTTCTGTAATGGCACAAAAGCAGCAAAGCTTCCTTCCACTAGATCTTCTGGAGGGGTTCAGTTAAGTGGGACTTTCACTCTGGCACGTGGAGGGGCCTTCTAGAAAAGTCATGCTGGGTAAACTGTGCAATGTTACAGAGTACATTTATTCCACGGTCATCTTCATTCTTCTATCTTTACCGTCACCTGGATCCTGTTAACCATATCCATTTCCTAATTATAAGCTCAATTTTAGTATCAGCAAAAGCCTCTGTCAGTTTTTCCTCAATTATTATCAAACCTCTCCTTGCCTAAACAAACACACAAAGCAAGTTTGGTGTCATTACCCACCTTGAGAGTTCACAATGTTACTCATTTTATAAAAGCAAACAAACAAACAAACAAAAAAACTGAATACACATGCACCAGGTCATGTTTACAGATAGATAAACACAGATTTATCCAAAATGAGCACAAGGGACCTACAGCTAACTGAAAACAAATTTGTGGAAATACCAATGTAGCTTCCTTCAATTCCAAATATGCACTGATTGCACAACAGAAGTGAATCTCCAACTTCTATGCTTTCTTTAAAAGAAAAAAAATATAGAAAAAGTTTTCGTCAAATAGGAGTACATATTTATTAGCTTGTAATGATTTTAATTTATCTTCCTACAACAATTACTTGGGGAGAGAGTGTTTTCAAGGGAGGAAAAACTGACACACTTACAAGGCTCCCTAAATTTGACAGAATGTCTATGAATATAGCTCTTCCTTTTGGATTTTTCTACCAGTAAGCTTCTAGCACCTGAATTTTCACACACTGCACCACAAACATCCTCAAAATGACCACCCAGCTTCTACAACCCAACAGCTTCGACACCAACTGCATAAGGTACAGTGGGAAAGAATCAAGTGAAAAGTGAAATGGCAGTGCAATCCCTGAGGAAGGAGCTGTATGGCATCTGAATAATCAGAATATTCTTTGAAAATACCAACACAATAAATGACATACAGACCTGAATTTTCTCTATTTTTGTGGTGTTTAACATTTCTATTAAAGTGATTAATAATTTTCGTGGTGGATTTAAGTTAAGAGGAAAGAAGGACAAAAATCCCACAGCCACCTGCCAAGCACCTGTTAGCCAAAACCTAAAGTAGCTTTGATTCTCCTCAGGCAAGCCTTTTGGCCTAGGAGACAGATAACAGCAAAATCAACCTGGATAAGGCTGATAAAGATGTAAAGCCAAAATAACTAGCAAAGAAAAATACACAATCAATGGCTTGATGTTACATATGGCTGTAATGTAGAAATACTGTAAACTGCAATTTAGTGTTAATACTGTCAACTAATCGGACTTCAGAAAACTGGCAAGGCCTAAACCACAAGGAATGATATACCTTATGTTCTAAGTCTGTCAGCTTGGGATTTAAACTATTCCGTGTTTGGTAGAGTATACCCTGAAAAAAATGCACAGCTAAAACAGATGAGATAGAAAGTACCCAAAACTTAAGACAAGAGCATATGTACATAAAAATCCTTACTGGAACCACAGAACTTATTGAATGAGGGCCATTCCATTTAAGTTTTCTTTTCATCTTAAAACCCTAATATCTAGCAATAAGTTAAATTAAAGACAGACAGCTCCACTTGCATTAATCTACAGAACAGTCCATATGCCAGTGTGAGGCTGCTATTCCAATACCAGCACAGCTAGCCTGACTTTCCACTAGTGGTATTTTGGCAAAAATGTCAAAGAGGCGATCAAAGACAGGATAGGTCGTGGGTTTCCTCCCTAGGAAGGTCATTCCTCCCTTTTCCCTCCCCTACCCGACCCCCAACTCATGGGAAAAAAATAAAGACTGCAGTAGTAGCATCAGCGTGCGCTGCCAGTCCACCTGGGGGCCTTAATTGTTGCCTTCTCCACCATCGTCGTCTTGCTGATCGCTTGTCCAGAGCGTTAGGTTGTCACGGAGGAGCTGCATGATGAGAGTGGAGTCCTTGTAGGAGTCCTCATTGAGAGTGTCGAGCTCAGCAATGGCGTCATCAAAAGCGGTCTTGGCCAAGTGGCAAGCTTGCTCTGGGGCATTCTGGATCTCATAGTAGAAAACGGAGTAATTAAGAGCCAGGCCTAATCTAATGGGGTGAGTAGGCTGCATGTGCTCCTTGCTGATTTCATGGGCTTCACTATAGGCCTTCTCAGATGACTCCACGACAGTCGCCCTTTTCTCTCCTGTGGCTACTTCAGCCAGGTAGCGATAGTAGTCCCCTTTCATCTTCAGGTAAAACACTTTACTCTCATACTGGGTCTCACTGCAATTCTTGATCAGGTAGTTATCCAGCAGGCTCAGCACATCCTGACACACCGCTTCCAACTCCTTCTCTATTTTTTCACGGTAAGCACGAACCATCTCTATCTTCTTCTCATTACCATCTGCAGATGTCTTCTGTTCAATGCTACTAATGACCCTCCAGGAAGAACGGCGTGCCCCAACTACATTCTTGTAAGCCACAGAGAGGAGGTTTCTTTCTTCATTGGACAGCGGCTCATTCAGCTCTGTCACCTGTTAGGAAGATAGAATAGACCATGGTTATGGTACAGATGACGTCCACTGGGCCAAAAATATCTTTAATGCCGATAAAACACAAACAGATCTACCAGTCAATGAAAGTGATTAACGGATAGAAAGAGAAGTTATGCTGTGTGGGCGTATGGGAAGAGGGCAAAGGTGGAATGAGCAACACAGAAGGTGAAAAAGGTTCTGGATCTCTGCTTCTCCAGAAAAGGACATATGCTTATCACGTACCTGTTCTATAAAAGAACTATCAAGTCTGCGTCTTAGATTTGAATCTGATTTGCAGCAAGGCAACAGTTCTCTCAGGTAACACTGTATACCATATCAATCCCCGGGGGTTTTAGTATATCTGGCAATATTTTAGGAAGACAGACTACCTTCTTCCTAGTCTTGCCCTGTCTATTAAATTCCAGTCCCACCCCTTTTGGGTGATAATATATTAACCTTCAAGTGGACTTTTGAGAAACAAGGAGGTTTTTCTGCTCATGTGTTAAAACCATATGAATTATAATGCTCAGAGAGATAGTGAAAATTGGAGGCATGAGTCTGAGTCTGACCACTGAGATATATTAGCAACTTGAGGAGCACGTATTTGTTGCAGTGTCTGAGTGAACACAAATAGCAATATCAAAGAATGGAGAGATAGGCAAAGTACTTCTGAGCTGAGGTGACCAACAGCAATTAGTGCTTCTTTCAATGTGGGCATCTCTAAAAGGTTTGTCTCCACTATCCCAAAGACTAATCATTGTTGACGAAATGAAAGCAACAAAACACCAATGTTTGTATTTTTATGACTATCAAACAACTGTCTATAAGAAAGAAATTAAGTCACTAACACTACATTTAAATTATATTACCTGATTTCTTTGATATAGAGCCATATACCATTAAGTGTCTTAGAACCGTTAAGAAATAGAATATTTTACATGAAGGATTGGGCTCTTACTTTTCTTTTATTCCGATTCTGAGGTCACAAAGGGCCAAAATACTACTTCCCTTCATACCCATGGAAACCCTGGCGGCATAGTGGTTAAGAGCTACGGCTGCTAACCAAAAGGTCGGCAGTTCAAATCCACCAGGAGCTCCTTGGAAACTCTACGGGGGCAGTTCTACTCTGTCCTATAGGGTTGCTATGAGTCGGAATTGACTAGATGGCAACGGGGGTTTTTTTTTTTTGGTTTCATATCCATAGTCACCTTCTATAACACAATTAAAATACCCACAAGTCTAGTTCAGCAACAATTATTTGTATCCTACTTTATGGTTCACAATCACAAAATTAACCCATTTGCTCTTCACAATAGGGCAACTGTCAAATTGGCATGCTACTCCAAAACAGCAAAATTTAGACCATTATTTGTCTGGTGAAATGCAGCTATCATATCTAAACCAGTATATACTATGTCAGTAGCAAAGTCACAACATTGGGAATCCCAGAACACTCACTACTTTATAGGTCTTAAAAGAAAACTAGCTACTCCCCAGCTTCATCCTCTTATCATGTACCTCTGGCTTCAAGTTAACTGCAAAACACTAGGCTCTTCCACACTTCCCTCTGTCTATGCTTTTGCCTCTGCCTAGAATATCTCCCACCTTGCTCCTGCCTTGGCAACTTTCAAGAGCCAAGTTAATACTCACGTCCTCTATGAAAAATCTTCTCTTCCCCTACTCTCCTCCTTCCACCCCCAGTTAAACTGGTTGTCCTCCAAGTCCTCACTGTTCCCTGTGTAGACCTACCACAACATCTACATAATATTATTTATAGATGTGGAGGATAGGGGGATATAATCCAAAAAAGATATACCAAACTTTTTTTTTGGGGGGGGGGGCAAAGGGCAGGCGTTGGGACAGCAAGGGACTTTTTTCTATGTATGAATCATTTACCTTCAGTATGTATTTCCACTTTTGTAAATAAGGAGGAAAATATGCTTAGTGAAAACTGGCTGTAGTAATTAAATATTACCCACTAAAAGATAATTAAATTAAAAACTAAAGCCAAATTATACTTATTACAGTTTATTATTATAATTATTCTTTGACTAGACCATGCCTTTGCTTACTAATTATCATAATAGCCAGCAAATGATATACACTCAAAAAGTATTTTGTTAACTGATTAGAAGTTTTGAAAGAAATGTTAACATTTTACCATACATTACTGATTCTCCATTATAATGCTGGAGAACACAACAGTACTTTTACCAGACATCGCCTAAGTGAAATGGACCGCAGAGTTGAAGAAAAGGGTTTTGGTAATATTGGAATTCAGAGACGGAAACCAACAGAGAGGCTCTTTGCTCCACAGCCCCTTTTCTCCATCCCTCAACCCTCCTGTGGAAATCACTTCTCCTGAGTAAGGAGGCCTATCATCGGCATATCCAATTCTTTTTTACATTCTAGACCTTGGAGTTACTATTGGTTGCCCCTCAGACTACTGTCACTTCTGCTGAGCTGTGATGTACAAATAACCTAGACCTGGGTTTGAATGTCCCAGTTCTACCATTTGCCTGCTAAGTGACCCTGGGCAAGCCATTTCATTTCTGTGGGTCTTTTATTATCTATAAAACAGAAATTTCTGCCTGCTTCATAAGGTTATCATAAAGGTGTATCAGACAAATGAGTAAGTGCTATTGACACAGTAAAGTGCTACAGGAATGTGAGCAATTACTTTTGAGAATATCTTGAATAATTTTCTTTCATTCAATTTCACCAGAGGAGGCCTTTAAATTTCTTATGTAACAATCTCCTCTACCATTCTGTCAGTACCACCACTTGTCTGTCAGTCTGTCGTACTTTGGTGGCTTGTGTGTTGCTGTGATGCTGGAAGCTGTACTACTGGTATTTCAAATACCAGCAGGGTTACCCATGGGGGACAGATTCAGTGGAGCTTCCAGACTAAAACAGACTAAGGAGGAGGACCTGGCGATCTATTTCTAAAAAAACTGGCCAGTGAAAAACCTCATGAATAGAAGCAGAACATCATACATAACCATCTCCTAGCTTATCTTCCCGTATGGAGTATTTCTTCTCCATTTCATCCTGTTCTCTAGTCTAAGCTGAAACTTCCTTACCTACCTCACCTCACTTCCTTTCCATTAAGGTTAGTATTACTGTAGCTCAAAAGAGAAAAAAAAAACCTTGCCAGACTCTCTAGGACTCTAGCCTATATTCATGGAATGTGCAGTCCCTGAAGACTTGCCCACAGGCCTTAGTGCAACCTGAGAAGCCAGAGTGCCTAAGGCAATGGAGATCAAGTTTTGGCCTTTCCCCTAAATCATGCTGGGCTTATTTCAAGAGCCAGCAACTATTTAAAGCTCAAATTACCTCATCAGTACGCTATACTGCTAGGTCTCCTGCTGCGCAAATGAAGCTCAGCTGGACAGCCCAAAGGTAGCAATTTGTGCTTATGTAAAGTTTGTCTAGTTGCCTCAGACAAACTGGAACATGAGATTATGAAATGCCAGTATCACCTTTAGATACAGTAACTCAACCACATTTGCAACATACCCTGATGTTCTCTGCCAATTTGCCACAACTAAGTTAGAAGGCAAAAACCTTTAGTTCTAAAAAGTCCACTGAAAGTAAGGTTTCTCTAAAAACCTCAAATAACAATTTTAAATCCTTTAGATCAAAATGACTTGTATGAGAATGAATCTGTGATTTACATTAAAACGGAACAGATTTAATCAAGAAAAGCTTTAATCAAGATAGCACTGAATGTGGGAAGAAGCGAGATATGTATCATTTGAGAAGGGAGGGTAATATGTTTCAAAACAATCACTGAATTGTGTCTAAGAACACAACACTTGTAAGTGTGGCCCCCAAAATTTACTGTGTTGGAAAATGTAGAAGATTCAAGTTTTGCTTAAAAAGAGAATTAAGGTTTCTCACTTTTTCTCAACTCCTACGAAACTAGTTCAAGTTCAAATGTCTTTTAGTAAATTAAAGATGTTAAAGATAGAGAGCTATGAGAAGAAGAGCTTAGAAAATCTGTATTATCATCACCAACAGTTTTGGAAAGAATTCTCCAATTTCTAGCTGCTAGGAAATCAGGTATTAATTAGTGTCAGCTGTTCTCCCTTAAGAGCTGATGAGGAGCACCCTTGAGATTCTTGGAAAGCTACTTAGGTGACTTTCTGACCTGAAGTCTTGGAGCAGTAGGTCATTCACAATTTCCTCAATTTCTCTATCAACAACCCTAAATTGTAATGACTGCAACTTCTTAAATAAAACTTGAATTAATCTGAAGTTATTCCTATCTTGCAAAATCTTGTGTAAAGGTTACAAAATAATAGTTATGGTGGTAGACACACACAAGACCCATTGATTGCTATATATGAACACCCTACACTAAAAACAGAAGATGACAAGGTATAAAACATACATCAGTGTCCGTATAATGTACCCAGTATCTATATACGACCCAAGGAATGGAATAAACCACTGCAAATGAACGTGACATGGTTCTGCCTGACATAAGCAATCATGTTCTGAAGATGTCCTATGTCCTACTGAATAATTTAAATATTTGAGAATAATCTGAAGTTATGTCTTGCATATCTTGAGAAAAATGCCTTAAACTCTAATCATATTCTATTCAGGAAAGAATTAATAAAGCCTGAGATTGCCTTCCTTAGAAAGGCCTGCTTGCAAGGGAGGCCCTTGGCTAGCATCCGTGAATTTGAATCTTGAGAGGCTTCCCATCATTCCCTGATACAAATGACTAGCTGTGCCTAAACTGTGCAGTGTGGTTTATGTTAAACACCTGCTGTACTTCTGGGAGTCTGAAATTTTGGTATGTGTTAGGTTGAGAGTGCATGGGTGACCAGCCCTCAATAAAAACCTTGCCTGCTGAGTCTATAATGGGCTTTCCTGGTAGACAAAATTTCACACACGACATGTGACAACACTGTCACATCTTACTGGTGGAAGCGTAAGTACATCCTGTGTGAGCCTACTGGAAGACGACCCTTGAAGAAGCTTGCACG